AGACTCGTTGTATTTTTTTTCGAGGTCGACCTATGATGTTTCTGAGGTCGACCTATGTCAGAAAAAATACGAGTTTTGACATTTTTCTACGAATTATTTTTGCGAAACTAACTGAGGTCGACCTGTAGTGATTTTTAGGTTGACCTAATCTGTTTCGCACTCAACATTTAAGCATTTGGGCCTATTCAGACTTGTTTTCTATAACCAAGGTCGACCTATGACGGTTTTTACGAGTTTAGCCCTCTTGTTCGACCAATATTTGTGCGTAATTAGCTAAGGCCGACCTATGCTTCATTTGAGGTCGACCTATGTTTTTTTCCTCCAATGTTACGGGTTTGGGTCGACCCATTCTCGTTTTTAATTGACTGAGGTCAACCGTTTATATTGGGAGGTCGACCTATGATGTTTGCACTCTAATTTTGTCCATCTTCGAACCATATTTGTGCTTGATTTTCTGTGTTCGACAATTGGTGTGTATTAGGTCGACCTATGATGTTTTAGAGGTCGACCTAACGTTGCTCTGTTTTATCTATATGTGCAGTTTTAGGTCGACCGCTTTATGGAGAGGTCGACCGAGTTTTGTTCATTTTGAAAATGTGACTAACGTGTATTATCGCTTGTTTGATCGCAGGATGTTTGGCAACAAAAAGAAAAGAAAGTCACAAAAAGCTGCTGCCTCAAGTTCGGAATAGGAGAGTACAATCCCACTTTGTTCTAGACCAAGGAGCAAAGTGACAACTTTGAAGAGAGGAGAATGCACAACCGCAGGGTGGCTCCTGGAAGGCCATTGATGACAGATGCGTATTCTCATTTCGAGAATTACGGGTTTCTATGACCCTTTGTCGAGTAAGAGTGTCTGAAGGTGATATCTCTAAATGCACCATACTACCCAAAAACGGTACAGTACTTCTACAACAACTTCGTCTACTAACGTAATGCAAATGGATCCATTCATGCATTTAAAACCTATGTGAATGGGGTGGAGATGCGCATCAGCAAGAATGTGTTGGCGGAAGAACTAGAGGCTCCAACGAGGGAAAGAGAATCGATTCTTACACTGCTTGGAATGAAACTCATTCTCGAGAGCCAAGTAAATCCAGACGGTATGTGGTCTTAATGAAGAGGAATATGCTCAGGGTCGCAGTAGGCCAACGAGTAACCACTTGACAGTTCAAGCCAGAGTTCTTCGCCACATGCTTTTCTACAACATTCTGCCAAAGGATGGACATCGAGAGACAGTCACCTACTTCGGCATGGAGCTCCTCACCGACCTACTGTTAGACGAGAAGGTGAACTTGCCATACTTGATCTTTAATCACATGCTTACTGCTGCAGAAAGTTCAAACAGGAATCTTCCCTATGGGATGATCCTGACTTTGCTATTTGAGCATTTTTCATGTGGATTTAAGTGGTGAGGTGGGGTTAAGAATCTCAAGGCAGGAGTTCTATACAGTTTCATCTCTGAAAAAGATGGGCTTTGAGCTGCGTATGGTGAGTATGTCCGAATAAACAATGCTCATGGTGTCCATGGTGGTGATGATGATGATGATGATGATGATGATGAGGATGATGATGGTGATGGTGATGAAGGAGCCGGAGACGAGCCAATGTGGCAGCACAAAGTTCAAGTCCACAAGTCACCTTAGAACGTGTGTGAGAGCGCATGGACGGCATGTACGAGTACATGGGTCAGTTTTCCCAGCCAGATGACTGGCATGTACGCTAATGGGGCAAATGATCGCCCAGATGAGCACAATGCAGGTGACCGTGAATGAGATACGAGATGAGTGGCGATCTTTCAGCGGAAGATACATGCATCCCACCACATCCGACCACCATCATGCTAACAACACAATAAGAAAATGTGGATGAGGGAGAGAGGGGACATGAGTAGGAACTCGAAGATTTTAAATTGTGTGTTTTTATTGTTAAGTGGTCAAAACGATTGTTGTGTTATTCTGTTGTTTTAGTTTTTTTTTATGTGTGAACAATTATGGTTTGTGTTTTATTGTATTTCTTGTTAGTTTGTTTTGTTGTTATGCTATGAAGTGATGAGTCCTTGTTTTCATTATTTATAACTAGTTATGATGGTTTGAAACATAATTTACGAGCAAAAGAACCACACAAATTGACATACATAAGCAAAAAGACATGGGGCATAGGTTGACTTTCTTGTATTCTGTCGACCTCGAAACCAACACTTGATCTTCATTTACGTTAAATGATTGGACAAATTGATAGAAGAACACTGTCTTCTATCTGGTCGACCACTTTCTGTATCTGGTCGACCACATTGTTAATGACTGCCATCAAGTGGTCGACCTATATACCTTTATGGTCGGCCATGTTTTTCTGACGCCAACGAAATGGTCGACCGAGGTTTTATCGTGGTCGACCAAAAATAACAACTTAAACTAAGTACGGTCGACCAGATGATCTTTGAGGTCGACCATGATGCATTCTCCTGCTGCCCAAATTAGTCAATTCGGTCGACCTCCTCGAGATTAGGTCGACCGAAAAATCCATGTTACGGTGACATGGGCATACCCATTATTTTATATAAATGATAAATGAACTCTCTGGCCAATAGGCCGGGTAAAAAACTAGTATTCTTATATACATTTTGCTAAATTCTGCTCACCAATATGGTATTGATACTTCAATTTATAGCTTTCAAAATGGGTAAATTGCAAGTTTGGTCACTAGAATTACTAAAAAATTTCACGTTTGCCACTAGAATTAATTTATTCCATCTATAGTCACTTAAATTAGTTCAACAGTTCAAGTTTGGTCACTCTCCGTTAGTCTCCATTAACTTTATCTGACGTGGCAGTCAACCTTTATAGTTGACTGTTAAGTGAGTGACTTGTCAAATTAAAAATAAAAATAAATTAATAAAAAAGCAATTGGAAGGGTACCCCTCTGTCAACTTTTCTCTCCCCCAAGAATAGTCCCCTTCGTCCATGTACTCCCCCCCAGAATCGTCCCCTCCGTCGCTGGCATCGTGGCACATGGCCGACTGTGGTAAATCTTCATGGATTCTCTCTACTTTTTTTATCGCACTTCTGGTTTGAGGAATCCCTTGCGGAAACTGCTCAATGGCTGTAGATTCTGAAGTGCGGCTGCAATCCCGTCGTTCTGAAGACATAGCTGGAATCGTGCTTCTCATCGCAAACTTCGGTGTGAATTGATTAATTATTTTTATTTACAAGGAGCAAAAGGGGAGCCACAAAGACACTTATTCCCTTCAAACGAGCTCGCCGGGAACTTCGTCGGTGACAACCTTCCACACAAATGATTCCAGCTCACATTCAGATTCTGCAATCCAACAACCGAACTCGACACCCCGTCGTAAATCAAATTCCTCGACAGATCCAAATCCTTGATCGTCACCACAATCCTCATCCGCCTCAAATCGAAGCTCAGTTTATTCCGGCGCCGCCCAAAACCCAACCAAATAATCGGTCCGGCTCAGCAACCAAACGAGACTGCTCAGATCCATTCTCCGATAAGTCGAGGTAATCATAGAAATACGTCTGCTTCGGCCTCCAATTCGTCAGATACATCTTGATCCCGCATTTCGCCAGCTTCATGGAATAGAGAATCGGGGAAGAACTCGCCCAATCGAGGATTCTCCCTATGTGGAAATTGTTGTACGATAGATCTAGGGTCTCGATCCCATCACGTTCATAACGGGAAAGGATCTCGCGCTTGGGGCCCAGAAATTTACCCAGGTCCTGGAACTAGGGGTGGAAATCGGTACGGTATTGGTATCCCAATACCAAATACCGAAATCCCGAATACCGAATTACACCCTAAAGTCAATCCCAATCCCAATCCCTAAATAATTTCGGTATCCCAATCCCAATCCCTAAATATACCGGTATCCCAATCGGTACTTCGGTATCCCAATCGGTATTATCGAATACAGAAATTAATTACCTTTACAATTAATAATTAAATATTAATGATATTTTATTGTTTAATTTAGGGAAAAAAGACTAAGCAAAGAGTCTTGAATTAGGATATTATTAAGGAGAATGAGGGAGGAGACATCTCAATTCTTCTTTCATTATTGAATCTTTAATTTGACGAATTGGAGGTTGACAGACGACTATTAATAGTGATGGAATGATCTATGTATAATTAAATGACACTTTTGGTGGTTGAGGGTCGTGTAGTAGTGAATGAGAGAGTTTAGTTGAGAGGATAAAATACACACTAGCTTATATTTCGGTATTGATCGGTATTTCGGTATAATACCGATCTCAATCCCGTAATCCCTAATAACCGATAACAAATGAAATTCAATCCCAATCCCAATCCCAAAAAATAATTCGTGTATTCGGTAATACCAAATAGACAAATTCGGTACGGTATCGGTATATCCCAAATACCAGTACCAAACTTCCAGCCCTAACCTGGAACGGCTTCACAATGTCGCCAAAGACAATCCGAAAAATGGAGGAGAAGCCAGAAAAGGAAGCCGATGAGCGGGGACTTGTTGGAGAAGGAGGAATTAGAGGTGTCTGAGGAAGAGGAGGAAGCTGATGAGCGCCGGAGACTTCTTCGAGAGGTAGTTCGCTGGATTATAAGAAGTTTGGGAATTATAAAAAATTTATTTTAATTTTTAATAATTGTGTAAATGAGGTGAAAATTAATAGATTAAATTTTATTTTTTTTAGTTTTTTAATTTGCCACGTCACTCACTTAATAGTCAATTATGAAGGTTGACTGCCACGTCAGATAAAGTTAACGGAGACTAACGGAGAGTGACCAAATTTGAATTGTTGAACTAATATAAGTGACAACAGATGAAATAAATTAATTCTAGCGACAAACGTGAATTTTTTTAGTATTTCTGATGACCAAACTTGCAATTTACCTCTTTCAAACCTATTTATTTCCAACGTGAATCAACATTTGGTCGCATCCAAACACGAGGAAGCCCAATAAACTAGGCCCAACCAAGCAAACCTTATCTGCGTACTTGTCGCTTACAGTCCAAGAATTATCCTCGTCACACTCACTGCTGCGCCTGCCATCAGCTGCGCTGGGGGGCTAAGAAGAAATGTCAGCTCTACTACTATCAATGGCTGCCTCCTCGATTGCTTTGTCTCCGCTTCACACCAAAGCCTCCAATCTCGCCTCCGCCACTCACATTCCATCCACTGCCCACTGTCGACTAATCACTTGGCCTCCTCCTGAAGCCCCTCAAACTCGCGAACCAAGCCACCGTCGTCGTCAGCCGACCCCCATCGCGCCGCTATTTCGCCGCTGCATTTGACGATTTCGAGGCAGCCGAAGATGAGAACTCCACTGACGACGAGGACCTCGCGGTTGAAGCCGATGATTACGCTCCGGAAAGCGAAGAAGGAGAAGTAGCAGCAGGTGTGAATGGAGGGTTTGGATCAAGTGACGAAGGTAGGCTGTACGTTGGAAACCTGCCATATACGACGACTTCGCGGAATTAAATGAGATTTTCGCGGAGGCGGGTCGTATCGCCAGCGTTGAGGTCCGAATGCCTTCCCTCCCCTGCTTCCAAATTTGCTCTTCTTCTTTGTTCAAAACTCAATAATCTGATGGATGACTTGATGTTGGACCATGGTATTATAATCTTTGATTGAGAGACCTAGTAGTGTTGAATAGATCAGTTGATTCAATCATAGCATTTTTTATATCCTATCCAAATTTTAAGATCATTAATCAGTTATTTGACCTTCGTTATATAAAACCCATTTGACAACTGGAGATGGTGGAGTGAATTGAGTTAAGGGAGCTTTTTGCAACGTTTTCAGGTCATCTATGATCGGGTTACAGATAGGAGCAGAGGGTTTGGGTTTGTTACAATGGCGACTGCCGAGGAAGCTAAAGCAGCCATTCGAATGTTCAATGAATCAGTAAGTTCCCTGCTCTTGCTTTCTTTTGCTTCTCTGTCTGCCCTTACCCTCATGGATATACTTAGAATGGTAGTGGTGGTGGATGAGCAGCAATTGGGAGGTAGAAACATAAAGGTGAACTTCCCAGAAGTGCCCAAGGGAGGCGAGAGGGAGATGATAGGCTCGAGAGTGCGGATAGCTATCAGGGGTTCGTAGACAGCCCTCACAAGGTCTATGCTGGGAATCTCGGTTGGGGCGTTACATCTCAAGCTCTCAAAGAAGTCTTCGCTGAGCAGCCTGGATACATGAGTGCCAAGGTCATCTACGAGAGGGATACAGGAAGATCTCGAGGTTTCGGTTTCGTGTCTTTCGAGACTGCTGCAGATGCTGATGCTGCTCTGAATAGCATGAATGGGAAGGTAAGCTACAATTGGATGGCGCACAGACAATTCATGTAGTATCTGTTCCAATGCTTCTGTTTAACCAAATTCTGTTGTTTTGTGGATTTTGTAGGAGGTGGAAGGGCGGCCTTTGCGGTTGAACATGGCTTCGGAGAGGCCGCAATCTTCATCAGGATTCAAGTCAACAACCGAAGGCGATAGCGGCCAATTGGTTTCGAGCATCAGCTCTGAGTCTGAGTAGACGTTTCTGCACATCACTTGCGTACACTTCAAAGTTCAAAGTATTTTGTTGCATCTACCCTTTAACCTTCTAAAGGAGCTTTTGCTTTCACTATGCTCCTCCATCATGCCATTCGAATCGGTCAAACCAAGACAGAACACAAAAACTTAGTGCCCAGAAGAGCAGCTCAAGTATGCAGCTATTTGTTTCAAAATTGGCATGTGAATATGGACGTGGATTCTGTACAAGATTGCTGCTTATTAGCCAAATTAATAGAGCACCCTTTTACGGCAGAAAATTGTTGCTCAATGCATGACCATATAGATTGTAATATATTGCGCGATATGAGAACTTTTTGAAGACTCATAGAGCAAAGCAAAGTATAAATAATAACTCTGACGTACCAGCACTAACACCAAAGTTTCTCGATACAAAATCGGGTTTTGAAATCTTCTTGTGCATTGGCATCAGGGAAACATAAAATAAAGTATATGAGGGTGGGTTTCTTCCAGCTAGAAATAGATGACCAAAAGAGGGTAGTATATGCACCACCAGCAGGAAGAGACCCGCAGAAGAATCCACGTCCTGCGGAAAGAACATTCTGACAAGAAGGATATTGGATTACATACAGCAGCAGTCTTTGGTCACTAGTTTTATTTCCCCAGGCTAGTTAGTCGGGCAGGAAATTCAGGGTCGTTGAGAAGGCACATGCCTGCAGGTGCTGTGGTAGATGATTCTGATCATTTCTCTGTATCACTGAAGCCTTTGCACCTGCCACGACCTCTAAAACTTGCCTGAAAAGAAAGATTAACATTGTACAGAAATTATTAAAACAAATAGCATTTCAATCATAAATTAACCGAACACTACTGAGCACAAGCTAATCTTCTGAGTCGTTGTACAAACAAAGGAATACGGACACAACCTCGATATAAGGCATTTAGATTGACACGAGGGTCCCACGTACCGAACTAAACAAGGTTAATTCCGCCTCACAATGGACCCTGGTTCATACTTCTCTTTCTTTCTGGAAGGCCATGATGATTTTACATGTTGAATTTGTTAGTGTTGTGGTATATGATTCACGATGAACTTCTCCCAACAATCGGGTTATTGGGATCAACTGGTTTATGACTATATCAGAGTCTTCTGTGACCGAGAGGTCTTGTGTTCGATTCTCGGTGAACCCATTTGTTAAGCACATGTGTATTCTTGTCTTCAGACCTGTGCAAACTTCAAGCCCTTGTGAGTGGCTTTCGTTTGAGGGGCGTGTTAGTGTTGTGGTATATGATCCACGATTGAACCTCTCCCAACCTCGAGTTTATGGGATCAACTGGTTTTATTTCGCAATAGGGAGAGTCATCTCTATCATCATTCTGTCAATGGGAAGTCCCTCACAACTTCGAGGTTCTCAGTTGTTTTCAGAGAGCAACCATTTACAGCGGAAAGCTTGGTGAGAAACTCAATTACCAATCAAGTTTTGTGGGTTTGGAATGGGAACGAAGTTGACCTTTCCTTCCACTTTCAGTTTTATGAGCAATAATGAGAAATCACTCTTAATTAGAAGCTAGAAAAAGTAAAGGCAGTTGCATATATTCGAGTCTCACACAGAGAAAAACAAGTAAGTTCTTGATAGCATCTTATTTGCACGTGTTTTCACTCGGGTTTCCTGTCCATTTTGGCTCGAATTGATTGTTCCTTGGCCTATTTTACGCTAGGTTGTGTTGTTTTGTCGTATTTCAGGTCCTAGCAAGTAAAGAGGTGCATAGGCGCAAGTTTCGGGTCATTTGGAGGTCGGATGGCGAATCACAGAAGGAATTACGGGCAGGCCCTGCCAAATTACGACCGTAATTGGTCAGGGCATGCCCGTAAAACAATTGCCGAGCCTTTCCCCAGAATTTCCTCTCGGTGCTAAAATTACGGGCAAGACCCCCAAGAATTACGATCGTAATTCCTAAATTACTGGCGGTAATTTGGAAATTACGGGCGTATCTCCTCCTCCTCCAGCTTAATTGAAACGTGCGTTTTGGGGCGAATTACGGGCAGGACGTAATTACGGCCGTAATTCAGCCCGTAATTCGCCCAGAGTCGGGTTTTTGGAGGCAGATTCGAGCCAAGGAAGGGGTATTCGAGTTTCTAGAGCAAAAACAGAGTTTTAGAGAGAGAAAGAGCGAAGAACAAACCCTAGGAGCTATTTTGGAGTGGATTTCTCATCATTGAAGCCCAGATTGCGTCCCCAGGAGGGAAGATTGACATCCCAGAGCAGATTTTCCTCATCTTTATGAGTATGACTTCTCTGATTTCTGTTTTCCTTTCTCTCACTTGGGTATGAAGAACCCTAGTTCCTTGTGTTAGGGATTTGATTGTAATGACTTGGGATGATATTACTGTTTGATTTTAATCGAATGATGCATGTTTATTGAATTGATTGGAGTCTGATCAGCTTTTCTCAATTTCTGCTGCAACCTGAGATAGATAGAATCTGATTAGGTTGTTAGAGCCTCTTCATTCGATAGTAGGAGATTGGCTATACGAGAGTTAGCCAGTTACTGCTTTGTACTGGAATTCAATTCCAGTAGTGGAGTTCTGTGTTCATAGCCTCGGCTTTCTATCCCGGTGAAGACTAGGCGTCTGCCGGGTAGTTAGACTAAGAGGGCTTGGTCAGCTTAAGAGATTCCAAGCTACTGTCGGATCTTCCGCAGTCTAATCAACAGTGAATCAACCCAGGGGAATTACAATTGAACCTAACTAAGGGGCTAGGGGGACTCATTCCCGAGTGACTCTTACCTGCTTTAGAAAACCGAACCATTTCCTGCTTTCTTACTGCTTTTGCTTTAAACAACAATCACTCGAATTAGTTTGCTAGATAATAGACAATCACGGAGTAAGCAGTAGATCTAGACCCCGGGTTGATAATAGAACTTGCCTGTTACTGCATTCCCGGACTGCGATTACACTTGGTCGCAGTTTGGTGTTGTGTTTTGGCATCCAGCGGAGGTACTTCCCATTCACTCTAGAGGGGCAAGCGAAGGAGTGGCTAGACACTCGATCTCCGGGCTCCATCACCACGTTCGCCAACCTGGCGGACAAGTTCCTCACCCGCTACCATCCTCCATCCAAGACAGCTGACCTGCAGAAGCAAATTACACATTTTGCTCAGGATGAGGATGAGACCATCAGGGATGCTTGGGAGAGATACACCAGTCTCTTTCTCAGGTGTCCCAATCATGGTTTCAATGATGCATTCAAGGTGGGCACCTTCTATCACGCCCTCTTTCCGGAGGACAAGCAGCTGATTGATTCGGTTTGTGGCGGGAACATGCTGACAAAAACCCCGCCACAGCTGAATCAACTCTTTGAGGAGATGGCGGAGAACGGGTACGACTGGGGCACTGCCAGGAGATCGAGACGAGCACCAGGACGGGGTGTGCATGCTGTGGGCACCCAGTCATCTGATTTGGTGCAGGTGGTATCGAAGCTGGTTTCAGCTATCGATCGTTCTGGTTTGATTGCAGGTTCAGGACAGCCGCAGGCGATGCACTGCCAGTGGTGTGAGAGCTCTCATCACACCGTAGAGGACTGTTAGGCGATGAGGGAATCGTCTACTCCCCAGGAGCAGGTGGACTTCATCGGGAATGCCAGGCGCTTTGACCCCTACAGCAACACCTATAACAAGGGGTGGCGCCAGCATCCTAACTTTTCTTGGGCTGGGCCAAATCCCAGACCACCAGCTCCCCAGGGACCACCCGGTTTTCAGAGGCCTCCATACCAGCCCAGACAGGGGCAATTTCAGCAGCCGCAGCAGCCACTCTACCAGCCCAGACAGGGGCCAGTTCCACCTCAGTCACAGGTGCGACCAATTCAGCAGACAGGGGCAGCACCAGCAGCCCCAGTACAGAGTGACCAGATGGCGGAACTGAGAGATCTGATGGGTTCTCTGGCCACCTCCAGTGCAAATAAATTCAACAATATTGAGCAATTTATGGAGAATGCTTCAGGTAAATTCTTGGAGCTAGAAGCTGTACAGAGAAACACACAGGCTGTGCTGCGAGATATACAGACCCAGCTTGGGAGTGTTGCCCAGGCTGTTGCTCAGAGGACTCCAGGTACCTTGCCTGGTCAGACCATCCCTCACCCGCAGGATCCGAATGCCAACTGCAATGCCATCACAACCAGGAGTGGCAAGGTGACTGCCGATCCACCTGTTTGGGCAGTAGAGAGAGAGACCCCTGCTTCAGCACTTCCAGCTAATCAGAAAGAAATGGAGAAGGAGGTTGAGGTGCCTGCTCCTAAACCGCAACCAGTGGTGAAGGAGTATGTACCACAGCTTCCCTTTCCTACTCGGTTGCACAAGGACCGACTGGAGACTGAGTTTGCCAAATTCATGGCAATGCTGAAGCAGGTGAATATTAGCATGCCCTTCGTGGAGGCATTATCGAAGATGCCCAAGTATGCCAAGTTCATGAAGGATCTCCTCACCAACAAGAGGAAGCTTGGGGAGTTGTCCACGGTGATGCTAAACGAGGAGTGTTCTGCCATCCTGCAGAACAAACTACCAGAGAAGCGAAAAGACCCAGGAAGTTTCACTATCCCTTGCATGATTGGTAGTTTGCATGTAGGGAAGTCCTTGGCGGATTTAGGCGCTAGCATAAATGTCATGCCATATTCACTGTTTAAGAAGCTAGGCCTAGGTGAACCCAGTAATACTAGGATGAGCATCCAGCTTGCTGATAGATCTATTGTGCATCCTAGGGGTATAGCAGAGGACTTGATAGTTGCAGTAGGGCCATTTTCATATCCTGTTGATTTTGTGATTTTGGACATAAATGAGGATGTTGATGTGCCATTGATACTGGGTAGACCTTTTCTCGCCACCGCCAAGGCGCTGATTGATGTTAATGATGGAAAACTGATTTTAAGAGCTGGGGTTGAACAAATCACCTTCTCTGTTTCTGATAATATGAAACACCCCCAGCTCCATGATGATCTAGATTACTGTGATGTTGTTGCTGATTTTGAGACCGCACTCGCCATCACGAGTGCGGGTACTGATGATTTCCTTGAGCGTTGTCTTTTGCTAGGGGAACAAGCATCACATGATATGCAGTTGGAGGAGCAGCTTGCGGAGCTGGACGAGGCTGCGAGCGAGGGGCGAGAGATACCATTCAAGCCGATCCCCATCTCGCCCCGGCTCGCTACATCATTGGAGGAGCCA